GACCCAGTCTGACTCTTGCACCCCTCACCGCCCGCCAGACCTCCCTGAGGCCATCCCGCCCCTGCTGTGTGGCCTGGTGACTCCTGACCGCTCTGGGCCCAGAGCCAAGCCCCTAGGGCGCACCCCTCCCAGCACCCCACGCACCTTCAACCTTGAGGGCGTCCCAGGCGTGGCCCACGGCCTCCCACGGCGACGGGATGTCCAGGAAGACAGCGTCTGCCACGTGGCTCACGCCGAAGCCGCTGCGGCACACGTCCTGGTTGCGCACGGTCACCCAGCGGCTCAGGTGGTGCTCCCGGAACTCCTCCCGCGCCTTCTCCGCCCGCTGCTGGTGGAACTCCACCGTGTGCAGGTGGCCCGTGGGCGCCACGGTGCGGATGATGGCGTGGGACACAGAGCCGCTGCCCGTGCCTGGGGGACAGGACGGTGTCAGGGAGGACGGCCGGGTCCACCCAGGAAACCACCCCGAGAGACCCACAGAGGGCCCCCAAGGTCAGCTGACCCGGGGTACCAGTGGGCATCCCTCGTGAGCTGCCTGTCAGTCCTGGCTGCCCTCTGACTCCGGCTGGGGGAGGGGTCAGCAGATGCCTGCCTGCCCCGTCCCGGGGCAGGAGCAAACCCACTGCCCGGCCCTGGGGACAGCGTGCTGGGAGGGGCTGGGGCAGAGCAGACAGAGCAGCCTGGCTCTGTCCACGCGTGGCTGGTCCCGGTTCCTGGAGCTCTGGGCTCACCAGGTGGGTCCGTCCTTCCACCCAAGCTCCTCTGCCCATCCCTTGCTGCCCCTGAGTCCCTGATACCGACTCCCCACAAGCTCCCCTCCCCGCCTGCACCGCCACACCTCCTACCCTGCAGCGCCAGCTGGCCTGTGTCCCTCGCCCCCTGACCCCCCCTTGTCCCCTGGGTGCAGGTGCCACCTCCTTGATGACAACGCCCCAAGCACGGCCCTGCACCCGACTCTGACCCAGCACCTAGCGTCTCCCGCACACTCGCCAGCCACCTCCCAGCTACACCCAAACCGCGCCTGGCACTCATGGTGCAAAGCTGGACCCGATCCCACGCCAAGTGGGCTCCCTGCCAAGCCTTCTACAACCCAGCCGACCACACCCACTGACTCCCCCTCCCCCACCCACACGGATCCACCTGGAACACCTGCCCGGCCTGCCTGCCCCGCCTGTCACGTCTCTCCCAGACCCACTGCTGGTCCTGTCCCCACCTGCCCACCGAGCCGGGGCCCATCCCTCCTGGCTCAGTGACAGCCACCAGCCTGGCTGCCTGCAATCGCTCCAGCACCCCCAGTGGGGCCGGGGTGAGTTGGCACAAACTGGCTGCGCACCCCTTCCCCGCAGGGTAGAGTCGAATCCTCCTGACGCT